GCGATTCGGCTAGGTACACGGGAATGCCCGCTGCACGAAGATCGGTGCCTAGAGAAGCCGAGTACGCTCGGCGGGAGTACGAAAACGCTTGTACGAAGGTGGAATTAGAACGGCGATCCGGCTAGGTACACGGGAATGCCCGCTGCACGAAGATCGGTGCCTGGAGAAGCCAAGTACGCTCGGCGGGAGTACGAGAACGCTCGTACGAAGGCGGAATTAGAACGGCGATCCGGCTAGGTACACGGGAATGCCCGCTGCACAAAGATCGGTGCCTAGAGGAGCCGAGTATGCTCGGCGGGTATACGAGAACACTCGTATGCTGAAGCGAGAATACCGAGAACGCTCAGCGGTACACGAGAACGCTCGTGTGCTGGAAAAAGGCATAGAAGCCGAGTACGCTCGGCGGACTACGAGAACGCTCGTAGAGAGATGTTTGCTGTCTAGCAGCGAACAGGATCTGGTGAAAAGACGTACAGCCGGGCCTCTTTTATACCCGGCTGGCGGCCGACTGACTTTGGATCGGCAAGCATCGGCGGTTTCGGCGGCGGGCCCCCACTAACGGAATTTCGGAACGGTCGGATGTGGGGGTCCGTTCGGCGCTTGACCGCCGTTGTTTTTGATGAAGTTTTATTGGCGCTCGATGCGCCCTTGGTGGGCTACGGACGATGTAGCTTGCGGGCTGCACCGTTACATATTTAATATTGAGCCAAAAATTTAAGTCTTCTAATTTATATTTTGATTACAATAAATAATAAACATTTTACTTAAGTTTTCAAACAAAAAGTTTTGTCTGTTTGATCGTAAAACATTTTTATATATTGAGAAACTTCGTTCGACATCAACAGAAGTTATAGGTGCAAATTTAAATGTCAATGTTTCTTGACTGTTGTAATTGTCTGTTTTTGTATTACCAGATCTTCCAGCCAAGCGTGCTGAAAGTGCTTTCAAAATAGTTGTTAGCGATTATTAGTTAGTCTTTCGAATTTCATATGCGCGCTACCATGTATTACTGCGCGGCCTTTTCGCCCCCCTCTTTGACAGCGCTTCGGGAGGACTCAGTCTCGAGTCGGACGCATATAGAGCCGGCACGGCAAGACTAATAGCTAATAAATAGTGTTCTTTTTCAACAAAATTATCAGTTTTATTCAATCTCGACCAACCTCGTGACGATGCCGAGGCTCGTAAGAACAGTGGCGATACAATACTCAACTGCAGAGGGAACATATCCTTTGATCATGTCACCGTAGAGAAAAGTTCTAGTAATGGCGTGATAGGTACGTGCCTCGACGCAACATTGGTCCTTCAAGCCGGATATCGGTATCAATAAAGTTGTAACAGCACGCACTGTTACTAAGCGCCACACGGGCTTCGCGTGTACACCCCCTATTACGGGCCGCATTTCGATCCCCCAACTCGAGGATAGTAGCTCGAGAAGGGGTAGCTGCCGGGTAGGGTAGCACCCCACGTGGGGGTAACGCGACCGGTATAAAAGCAGGCTCGCGGAACAGACCGATACCATTCCCCCGAGTACGACTCGGACAAGCCTCAGGGCGCACTCTGAAGCTCCGGTCGTACTCGCTCCCATCTTGATAGTCGTTCTAGGGGCAGGACGTTCTCTGCCTCGGTCGGGTGTTCCCGGCGTTCGACTTCCTTTATCCCTCGCACGAGAGAAGATTCTCTCTGTCTTCGGACACAGCGCACCCTCAACCGTCAACGACTCAGCAGGGCTCGGATACACGCGGTATCACTTATTTTTTAATACTTTGACTCCGTACCGTACGAACCGACCGATTTAGAATTAAATAATTTAAGTTGTTTATTATTCGGCCAAAGACGCGACACGTTTAATAGATTACGCAGTTTACTCATTATCCGTTTATTTCCGATATTTGTACCCGTTTATACCGTTGAGATATTAGATAGTTTAACCGATTACTTATGTACTCACATTTATAAACGTTTTCTTTTTACAAGCTCTCTTGAATAAATATTTATTTTGTTTTATTAATTTATTTTTGTTAATTTGGAGTCTCCCGAAAAACCACACGAACGAATCCTGGCGAACCGGCAAGTTATTCCGTGTCGTAAGAATCCGCTTTGCTAACTACGCACCGTCGTTATTCCGCATCGTAAAATCCGCTTTGCTACCTACGCACTGTAGAAATTCCGCATCATTACGCACCGCCCGTGAGGCGTAAAAATACGCACCGTTACAAAGTGTTAACGCTACTGTAAGTCAAGGGCAAGGGAACATCTGCCTGGCAACTACGATCCGTGCAGCAACCAGGATGCAAGGCAATCAATTTCCTCGTGCAATCACGAGAACAGCGAGCGTCCATACCGCTTGAGCATCCGGACGACCACACCCGGCGCCATCTTGCCGCTAAAGAAGCGGCTAATATTCAGGACACATCAGGCGACTTCCAGGAACGCTTCTCATCATCATCATTGACGGCAACCACGATCAGCCTCTGCCAACTACATCTCGCGCCTGCGTATCTCATTTGTAAGGTAAGGACAGCTATTCCAAGGTCATTGCCAGTCATTTCTGGTCGCACAAATATTTATCGCGTTCGCCATGTCCAACGACGATGTTACTGCGCTCAAGAAGCGACGCACGACAATTCTCGCTGCGTGAACGCGCATACGAACCTACGTAGATTCGGTAGCATCCATTACTCCGTCCATAGCAGCTCAACTCGAGGAGCGTAAATCAAAGCTCGATTCGTATTGGTCGGAATATGACAACATACAAACGAAAATAGAATCTCGCGACGCGGCAAAAGCAAACATGCCACGTTTGAAGAACCCTTTTATTCCTTATCGGCTAAAATACGCGAAAAGCTCAACCCTGCTATACCGACACGCGCATCAGCCTCTCTCTCGCCGTCACCCTCGTCGGCCGCTAGCTTTGAGCACTACAGTCACATAAGACTACCGAAATTAGATCTTCCTAAATTTTCTAGCAATTACCACGAGTGGTATCCTTTCTTCGACACCTTCAATGCTCTTATCCACTCAAACATGTCGTTAAGCAACGTACAGAAATTACAATATCTAAGGGCTTCACTCACAGGCGACGCGGCTCAAAGAATCGCTGCGTTAGAAATATCCGACGTAAACTACGAAGTAGCGTGGAAACTACTCAAGGAACGCTACGATAACAAGCGTGTTATCATTCAAGGCCATATGGCCAAAGGCAATCATGGACCTGCTGTCGATGACTAAAGAAAATCTCGCAGAATTGCGTCAAGTCGCGGACGGTGCAAGCAGGCACATTCACGCTCTCCGAGCGCTCAAACGCTCTATGCAGCACTGGGACAATTTATTAGTCTATATTTTAAGTAACAAACTAGACGCGCTCACACTTCGAGAATGGCGTTTATCGCTGACGAGTTCCGAGATGCCGACGCTGAGGCAATTCATAGATTCATTGCTCATCGATGCCAAACGCTTGAGGCAAACGGCAAATCAAGTGTCGCCACTCCAAAGGGCGCGAACACGCGTTCACAGTCTGACTCGAAGCGTCAATCGTGCTTTGCGGCGGTCAAAGGCCAAGTGTATTTTTTGCAAGGGAGAGCATCCCATCTATCATTGTCAAAACTTCTTGGCTTTGCCGATTTCACAGAGAATCTCGGAGATTCGCAAATGCAAGGCCTGCGCAAATTGCTTAAAATCCACGGATCACAGTTCGAGTAAATGCACTTCTGGCAAATTTCGCAATCTCATCTATCATTGCAAATTTTGCAAATTAAAACATAATACATTGCTTCACCCCGCTACCGCCGCAACCACAAACTCTAACGTAGAGTCTCACGATCCCGCTAAAGACGGATCCAGTGAAGTAATATCCACGAATTCCTCTGCCGCCCTCGCAAATAATGCGCATTCATCCATTCACAGCTGCATCATGCTCTCAACGGCTACCGTGTACGCATACGGTAGCAAGGGTTCGCGACAGCCCTGTCGCGTGTTGCTGGCTCACAAACAAATTTCATTTCACGACACTTCCTACGAGTGCTTGCGCTTAAGCCGCGATCTCTAGACGTTTCCGTTTCGGGAATAAACCGAACGACCACGAAGGCATCTCAAGCAGTAGAAATACGGCTGCAATCGCGTACAAATTCTTTTAATCTCTCCCTCGATTGCATTGTAACTGATCACGTGACCGACGTTTTTTCCGGCTTTCACGTTAAAAGGAAGCGTCTTCAATATTCCAAATAACATTCAATTAGCCGACCCGCAGTTTCACGTCGCATCCGAAATCGATGTTTTAATTGGCGCTGAACATTTCTGGAACTTGCTTTGCGTTAGGCAAATTAAATCCCCCCGTGCGCATCCGACGTTGCACAAAACGCGTTTCGGTTGGGTTTTGGGCGGACGATGGGGCACACCAGGTTCACGGGCGAGCATTTGATTTTTTTACGCGTCAATTACCAATGCACAACTACATGATCAACTATCGCGCTTTTGGCGCGTCGAGGACGTTGGTGAGCTTTCAAACAACTATTCCGACGAGAAAGCTCGTTGTGAACAACATTTTCTAGAAAACTTGTCTCGAACTGAACAAGATAGATTCATTGTTAAACTTCCCTTTAAGGAGCACGTCCCTAATACCTTCAAGGATTTAAAGACTACCGCTTTAAAATGATTTCACAATATGAAAAAGCGACTCAATCGCGACCCGCACTTGAAACGTCAATATGCACAGTTTTTAAGCGAATATCAAGAGCTCGGCCATATGAAGTTAATTAACGAGCAATCCGACGACGACGCGGCGTCCTTTTATTTACCGAACCATTGCGTCTTTAAATCCTCGGCAACGGGTAGCAAGATACGAGTCGTTTTCGACGCATCTACAAAGTGCACGTCTGGTAAATCGTTAAACGATACACTCATGGTCGGTCCGGTCGTCCAACAAGAGTTGTTCTCTATTCTTTTACGTTTTCGAACCTTTCGCTTCGCCCTCGCAGCAGATATAAAAATGTACAGACAAGTACTAATACATCCTTCGCAAACGTGATTTCAGCGTATACTGCGGCGTAACGATCCTAATTCACGCATCAAAACGTACGAACTCATCACCGTGATGTACGGTACGTCATCCGCTTCATATCAGGCTGCGAGATGCCTCAAAAAGCTAGCAGATCATTATATGAACGAATTTCCACACGGCTTTGCGTGCGTCAAAAGAGACTTTTACGTTGACGACATGTTAACAGGAGCCAACACGATCCGTGAGGCGGAAATGATTCACGACGAAACAACCAAGTTGTTAGGCTTCGGCTCGTTCCAGCTTAGTAAGTGGGCATCCAATTGCCCGGACTTACAAGTAACACTACCCAAATGTAAATCACCGATTTTGATAATTTTTGAATATGTTGTAGTAGACGTAAAAATAAGACATACGTATTTTTTTTATCGGCGGAAAACCATATTTACACCCCTTTACACCCCTTTAAATTTATGGGTATCGATTTAATTGTTTTGTATATAAGGATTTAGTATTTTTGGCCCGAACCAAATAAAATAGTTGCATCATCAAGAGATATGAAAAATGGAAAATTTTCGACTCGGTTCGATCATTTTTAGGGGGTAAACCACCCCCTGTATTTGAAACAAAAATTTTAAAAATGCCCAGATAATTGCAAATTTTATTCAAAAATTTTGAAAAAAATATATGTTACACTCGCATCCAAAACAAAAGTGAGACTGTTTGAGGATTTAAGAGTGATCACCCTTTTATCGAATTTCTTACGTAACATTTAAATTTATTCCGAAATAATGGTAAACAGTTTCATTTATCGTCAAATTAATTAATATTTACAAATTATAGTCTGATCAACCCTTCAATTCTATAAGGGGTGAGGAAAAACCTACCCTTAATAAGAGTAAGAAACCAGGATCGCGGCTCTTAGCATTACCCAGGATCACGACGGGGACGTGGCCGCGTGGATCCCATTTTATTTTATTTTTTTGGTTTTTTTGGTTTTTTGTTTTTTTTATTTGTTTATTGTTTTGTAATTTTTTTGTGTTTTTATTTGTATGTTGTTTTTTAATTTTTATATTTGCATTTTAACAATTAAAAAAAATTAAATTAATTAAACGTTACATTATAACTAACTTTAGTAATATTAATTAATGGCTATTCTTTATAGTCTTTACAATAATGAGGGACGCTTTGATTGCTGGGATCAAAAAAATGAGTAAAACATATATAATGTGTACACCAAGCGCACCTAATTAAAGCATTATCTTCACAATACTTGCAAGATGTATCACAATTTTCAAAACAGTATCGGACAGGAGTCTTGCATTTAGGTGGTTTTTCTTGAATATACCCACTTTTATACCATGCATATTTAAACATGTTTACAAACCTGGCTGAAGAAAACTGGTTATGAATCAGCGACTGAAGTTTTAATACATTGTTTCTTGCATGTAAATTGACATCAAAGCCATACAAAATTACCAGATCTGAAAAATGTTTTAAAAAATTTTTCCATGGTCTGAATCCATAAACATCTAGGGGTTGAATCATACCAGTTGTCCCAGCAGGAATTGTAAAAATATTGACATCTTTGCCTTCTAGACAAACGTTGTCAAAATTTTTCTTTGTTTGTCCTGTCCACGAATCTAAACATAAAACCGATTGTTTATCAACCACAGATAAGTAAATATCTTTGTACCATTGAACTGCCAGGTCAGATGATAATTTCCCAGATTTTGAAGGTACTACGACAATATTTTCTGCTTTATATATGTTCATTTCAACAACAGGTCCAAACTGCCCACCCGTTTCTTGTAAAACAATAAATAAAGGCGACTTGAGTAATCCACTAGCTGATACAATCGGTTGTATGGTATAGCTATGTGTTAATGAATTCTTCGATTGTGTTAAACATTCAACTTTTGCTGTTCCTTTGAAAGATAATGTTCGTCCTGCATGTGATTCATAATTAAAACCAGACTGATCTGAATTATAAACATTGTCAGCTCCTAATAATGAGATTTGCTCCCTAATTTTGGATACAAATTGATTTGCTTCTTGTACTAAATCATCTTTCTTTGATAAGAGCGTTTGGGTAGTGAATTTATTAATTTTTCTGGATACGATTCCGTGTTTTATTTTAAAATTGTGAATCACTTTGATGAAGCCGAGAAACTTTCTTCTTTGAAATATGAATGCCTCCGTCGCCAGGCGAGCGCTCCTCACTCCTTAGCTCGCGGCTTTTGTTTACATGAGATGCTCCGGGGCCCATTTCTCACATTCACATTCACATCCTGCAGTCCATATTTCAAAGAAGAAAGTTCTCGGACAATCGCGTTGATCGTTAAGGGTTTCAACGGTGTTCTAATCTCGATTAAATTAATTTAAAAATCAGTAAACACCTTAAGCTCACCAATTACGTATTTTATACCGAATACGTATACAAAAAAATGACGATGAATGTAAGAAACATTTTAAAATTGTTACAAGAAGCTTTTAATTATTCACAATATAATATTGATTCAGCTATTAATGATGATGAGAGAGCTTTTGCGTCACAATTGGAGAATATAATTAAAGACTCCATTGATTTTGCCTTGATATTTGAAAGTTATACTACTTTATGTTACGAAGATAATACTGCGCTTCCTGAAATCCATGCAATTGAAGAAGATTTCCAAGATGATTATAACGCTATTATTAATGATAATAAAAAAGTTAAAAACATGATAGATTTCGAATATAAAGAAAAAGCTGTTCAATATTGGCATTCTGGTACAAAAAAAAATTTAAAATTTGAATGTGTACAAAGTAAATTTAAAAAAGTTCAAAATATTACAATGTTATATAGATGGGAAAAGCAAGTAAAAGAAGGTGGCACAAGAAACGAGAAATTATTGGAAATTAGCAAATATGTCATGAAACAGTTTCAAAATGCACATTTGAAGTCAATACCAATTCATGATATTGATATTAAGAGATGGGCTTTAAATGCAAGAAATGAAGTACAACTACCTCGAGAATTTTTCACGGCTTCATCAAAGTGGATTCACAATTTTTAAAATAAAACACGGAATCGTATCCAGAAAAATTAATAAATTCACTACCCAAAGCTCTTATCAAAGAAAGATGATTTAGTACAAGAAGCAAATCAATTTGTATCCAAAATTAGGGAGCAAATCTCATTATTAGGAGCTGACAATGTTTATAATTCAGATCAGTCTGGTTTTAATTATGAATCACATGCAGGACGAACATTATCTTTCAAAGGAACAGCAAAAGTTGAATGTTTAACACAATCGAAGAATTCATTAACACATAGCTATACCATACAACCGATTGTATCAGCTAGTGGATTACTCAAGTCGCCTTTATTTATTGTTTTACAAGAAACGGGTGGGCAGTTTGGACCTGTTGTTGAAATGAACATATATAAAGCAGAAAATATTGTCGTAGTACCTTCAAAATCTGGGAAATTATCATCTGACCTGGCAGTTCAATGGTACAAAGATATTTACTTATCTGTGGTTGATAAACAATCGGTTTTATGTTTAGATTCGTGGACAGGACAAACAAAGAAAAATTTTGACAACGTTTGTCTAGAAGGCAAAGATGTCAATATTTTTACAATTCCTGCTGGGACAACTGGTATGATTCAACCCCTAGATGTTTATGGATTCAGACCATGGAAAAATTTTTTAAAACATTTTTCAGATCTGGTAATTTTGTATGGCTTTGATGTCAATTTACATGCAAGAAACAATGTATTAAAACTTCAGTCGCTGATTCATAACCAGTTTTCTTCAGCCAGGTTTGTAAACATGTTTAAATATGCATGGTATAAAAGTGGGTATATTCAAGAAAAACCACCTAAATGCAAGACTCCTGTCCGATACTGTTTTGAAAATTGTGATACATCTTGCAAGTATTGTGAAGATAATGCTTTAATTAGGTGCGCTTGGTGTACACATTATATATGTTTTACTCATTTTTTTGATCCCAGCAATCAAAGCGTCCCTCATTATTGTAAAGACTATAAAGAATAGCCATTAATT